TGCCTGAAGAAATCATAATAATAATTTGAGGTTCTTATATACGGCTTTATCACAACCTAGTTCATGGTTATAGAGCCTTTGAAACCAGCCAATGTCTTTCTCAACTCCCTGGGGAGCATACAGCAGGTGCTGCCATTTCGGCACTCACAACTAGCATTCAACAATTCTAGCACTGCCCAACCACTTACTCATTTACAGCCGAGTAGACTGGAACAAGCAGAGTTTAAGTATCTTGCTCAAAGATACAACACAATGCCGTGCCGTGACTCGAACCCGCAACCCTTCGGTCACAAGCCCAGTGTCCTACCATTAAACTACCGTGCCTCCTATAATAAAAGCAGGCCTATTTGTGACTCGAACCCGCAACCCTTCGGTCACGAGCCCAGTGTCCTAGCTACCACTAGACTACCGTGCCTCCTATAATACAAGCAGGCCTATTTGTGAAGTTGTGAAAAATAGAGGTATTCTGCCATACTCTTGAAATATTTCAATTGGAAACCATTAAACATATTTATCCCTAGAAAACATTGCAGATTAAATCAGGGTATATATATGTCATACAAATTACATTTATGTCTGGAAAGTGAAATATTTCTCTGAAACTTGAAAATATACAGATTTGAAACAGAATGTATAAAGATCTAATCATTATCAAAGGTAATAATATTAATTGTGATGATCATTGTCATCATAGACATCATTTACCTTAGATGTTGTGATCATCTATTACTAATTAAAATTGTTAAATAGTTCCAGGGATAGAGCCAACATGGTTTCGCTTACTTAGGTATAGTTTCAGGGATAGAGCCAACATTGTTTCTCTTACTTAGGTATAGTTCCAGGGATAGAGCCAATACCGTTTCCCTTACTTAGGTATAGTTCCAGGAATAGAGCCAACACTGTTTCTCTTACTTAGGTACCGTTCCAGGGATAGAGCCAACGCCGTTTCCCTTACTTAGGTATAGTTCCAGGGATAGAGCCAATACCGTTTCCCTTACTTAGGTATAGTTCCAGGGATAGAACCAACACTGTTTCTCTTACTTAGGTATAGTTCCAGGGATAGAGCCAACACTGTTTCCCTTACTTAGGTATAGTTCCAGGGATAGAACCAACACTGTTTCTCTTACTTAGGTATAGTTCCAGGGATAGAGCCAACACTGTTTCTCTTACTTAGGTATAGTTCCAGGGATAGAGCCAACACTGTTTCTCTTACTTAGGTATAGTTCCAGGGATAGAGCCAACACTGTTTCTCTTACTTAGGTATAGTTCCAGGGATAGAGCCAACACTGTTTCTCTTACTTAGGTATAGTTCCAGGGATAGAGCCAACACTGTTTCTCTTACTTAGGTATAGTTCCAGGGATAGAGCCAACACTGTTTCTCTTACTTAGGTATAGTTCCAGGGATAGAGCCAACACTGTTTCTCTTACTTAGGTATAGTTCCAGGGATAGAGCCAACACTGTTTCTCTTACTTAGGTATAGTTCCAGGGATAGAGCCAACACTGTTTCTCTTACTTAGGTATAGTTCCAGGGATAGAGCCAACACTGTTTCTCTTACTTAGGTATAGTTCCAGGGATAGAGCCAACACTGTTTCTCTTACTTAGGTATAGTTCCAGGGATAGAGCCAACACTGTTTCTCTTACTTAGGTATAGTTCCAGGGATAGAGCCAACACTGTTTCTCTTACTTAGGTATAGTTCCAGGGATAGAGCCAACACTGTTTCTCTTACTTAGGTATAGTTCCAGGGATAGAGCCAACACTGTTTCTCTTACTTAGGTATAGTTCCAGGGATAGAGCCAACACTGTTTCTCTTACTTAGGTATAGTTCCAGGGATAGAGCCAACACTGTTTCTCTTACTTAGGTATAGTTCCAGGGATAGAGCCAACACTGTTTCTCTTACTTAGGTATAGTTCCAGGGATAGAGCCAACACTGTTTCTCTTACTTAGGTATAGTTCCAGGGATAGAGCCAACACTGTTTCTCTTACTTAGGTATAGTTCCAGGGATAGAGCCAACACTGTTTCTCTTACTTAGGTATAGTTCCAGGGATAGAGCCAACACTGTTTCTCTTACTTAGGTATAGTTCCAGGGATAGAGCCAACACTGTTTCTCTTACTTAGGTATAGTTCCAGGGATAGAGCCAACACTGTTTCTCTTACTTAGGTATAGTTCCAGGGATAGAGCCAACACTGTTTCTCTTACTTAGGTATAGTTCCAGGGATAGAGCCAACACTGTTTCTCTTACTTAGGTATAGTTCCAGGGATAGAGCCAACACTGTTTCTCTTACTTAGGTATAGTTCCAGGGATAGAGCCAACACTGTTTCTCTTACTTAGGTATAGTTCCAGGGATAGAGCCAACACTGTTTCTCTTACTTAGGTATAGTTCCAGGGATAGAGCCAACACTGTTTCTCTTACTTAGGTATAGTTCCAGGGATAGAGCCAACACTGTTTCTCTTACTTAGGTATAGTTCCAGGGATAGAGCCAACACTGTTTCTCTTACTTAGGTATAGTTCCAGGGATAGAGCCAACACTGTTTCTCTTACTTAGGTATAGTTCCAGGGATAGAGCCAACACTGTTTCTCTTACTTAGGTATAGTTCCAGGGATAGAGCCAACACTGTTTCTCTTACTTAGGTATAGTTCCAGGGATAGAGCCAACACTGTTTCTCTTACTTAGGTATAGTTCCAGGGATAGAGCCAACACTGTTTCTCTTACTTAGGTATAGTTCCAGGGATAGAGCCAACACTGTTTCTCTTACTTAGGTATAGTTCCAGGGATAGAGCCAACACTGTTTCTCTTACTTAGGTATAGTTCCAGGGATAGAGCCAACACTGTTTCTCTTACTTAGGTATAGTTCCAGGGATAGAGCCAACACTGTTTCTCTTACTTAGGTATAGTTCCAGGGATAGAGCCAACACTGTTTCTCTTACTTAGGTATAGTTCCAGGGATAGAGCCAACACTGTTTCTCTTACTTAGGTATAGTTCCAGGGATAGAGCCAACACTGTTTCTCTTACTTAGGTATAGTTCCAGGGATAGAGCCAACACTGTTTCTCTTACTTAGGTATAGTTCCAGGGATAGAGCCAACACTGTTTCTCTTACTTAGGTATAGTTCCAGGGATAGAGCCAACACTGTTTCTCTTACTTAGGTATAGTTCCAGGGATAGAGCCAACACTGTTTCTCTTACTTAGGTATAGTTCCAGGGATAGAGCCAACACTGTTTCTCTTACTTAGGTATAGTTCCAGGGATAGAGCCAACACTGTTTCTCTTACTTAGGTATAGTTCCAGGGATAGAGCCAACACTGTTTCTCTTACTTAGGTATAGTTCCAGGGATAGAGCCAACACTGTTTCTCTTACTTAGGTATAGTTCCAGGGATAGAGCCAACACTGTTTCTCTTACTTAGGTATAGTTCCAGGGATAGAGCCAACACTGTTTCTCTTACTTAGGTATAGTTCCAGGGATAGAGCCAACACTGTTTCTCTTACTTAGGTATAGTTCCAGGGATAGAGCCAACACTGTTTCTCTTACTTAGGTATAGTTCCAGGGATAGAGCCAACACTGTTTCTCTTACTTAGGTATAGTTCCAGGGATAGAGCCAACACTGTTTCTCTTACTTAGGTATAGTTCCAGGGATAGAGCCAACACTGTTTCTCTTACTTAGGTATAGTTCCAGGGATAGAGCCAACACTGTTTCTCTTACTTAGGTATAGTTCCAGGGATAGAGCCAACACTGTTTCTCTTACTTAGGTATAGTTCCAGGGATAGAGCCAACACTGTTTCTCTTACTTAGGTATAGTTCCAGGGATAGAGCCAACACTGTTTCTCTTACTTAGGTATAGTTCCAGGGATAGAGCCAACACTGTTTCTCTTACTTAGGTATAGTTCCAGGGATAGAGCCAACACTGTTTCTCTTACTTAGGTATAGTTCCAGGGATAGAGCCAACACTGTTTCTCTTACTTAGGTATAGTTCCAGGGATAGAGCCAACACTGTTTCTCTTACTTAGGTATAGTTCCAGGGATAGAGCCAACACTGTTTCTCTTACTTAGGTATAGTTCCAGGGATAGAGCCAACACTGTTTCTCTTACTTAGGTATAGTTCCAGGGATAGAGCCAACACTGTTTCTCTTACTTAGGTATAGTTCCAGGGATAGAGCCAACACTGTTTCTCTTACTTAGGTATAGTTCCAGGGATAGAGCCAACACTGTTTCTCTTACTTAGGTATAGTTCCAGGGATAGAGCCAACACTGTTTCTCTTACTTAGGTATAGTTCCAGGGATAGAGCCAACACTGTTTCTCTTACTTAGGTATAGTTCCAGGGATAGAGCCAACACTGTTTCTCTTACTTAGGTATAGTTCCAGGGATAGAGCCAACACTGTTTCTCTTACTTAGGTATAGTTCCAGGGATAGAGCCAACACTGTTTCTCTTACTTAGGTATAGTTCCAGGGATAGAGCCAACACTGTTTCTCTTACTTAGGTATAGTTCCAGGGATAGAGCCAACACCGTTTCCCTTACTTCGGTTCGGTTGGTTATGTTTATTTCTTTGTTTGAAATCACCCGGTATGCAGGGCGATCGAAGAATAGGGAAAAATAAGTGTAAAAGTCAAACGCAACAAGCTTGGGATAAGTTGAGTTTCATTCAATTAGGAAACGTCTACACTAAAAATTATAAAATCATACAATTTCCAAAGCTGTTATTATTCTTTTACTTCTATTTTAAGTGATTTCACTGTTTAAAGTTAAGATCAATCATAGCTTGGATGTCTGTTTACAGGTCCAGTGGCCAAACTTAAAGAGATGACTTGTGTGGTAAAAATCACTTTATTTCACCGCTTTCAACATCCTCTGGGAAGGTTATTATTACCGTCTTACACAGCACTGTGTTACAGTTATAAGCAGTTAAAATAGTATGAAATTCTAATTTATATGAACATACAAATGGTTTATACTGAGATTAATTATTGTTAATTTGCAGTAATTGTATTTTCCAGCTCCATAGAGTATGGAATCGACAGCGAGAATTTAAGTCTTTCAGCAATCAGGACCATCAGAGTGCTTCGTCCACTTCGAGCTATAAACAGAATTCCCAGTAAGTAGACAATGGATCATACACTTCAGAATAAGGTTGGATGATGTACATTTTGCCTCTCAATCATGTTTATATTATAGCTACAAAACAGCTAACATTATTTACTCTGGAAAGCTTATAATCAACTTTTCTGATACCAGTATTAAACATTTTACACATCCATCTGCAGCAGTGGAGGGATGAAGGCAGTATTTTAGACAATGATCAGGAACTGACATCTGGAGTTAAAAAAAAGGTCCCTGTTAATGTTGGTTTCATTCTTTCTAAGATCATTATAACTTTTTATCACATAATGTACTATGTTATCCAGTGAATAGACCCATGTCATATTTGTTTGCGTATTAACCCATGTAATATCAACTATCAGCCCTTTGATTGGTTGTAAGATTCAATTGTTTCAATTGTGACGTCACGCCTAGGACAAGTACATGACGTCACAGACTTACGCACTGGAGTCAAAATGGCGGCTTTTTACATTTCATGGTTACATGAAAATTGTTGTTTTACACGAATAAATGCCACAAATCTTGATTATGTGATAAAAATGATCTTACACTCGTTTTCATTTAATATGAAATTTATGAAACTCGTCACAAATTTTTAGGTCACCTGAGACAAAGTCTCAAGTAGAATCAATACTCTTCATAGATGGAAGGGTCTTAAGGTGCTTTACCAAAATTGTGAATTTCTTGACCCTGGGGTCTCACGTTACCCCCTGGGGAGTGGGTAAACTTTACTATAGTTTATATAGGGAAATCACATTTTTGACCAACATTTGTTTAATTGCCATTGGAAGTAATTAAATTTTTGTAAGCATTACCAGAATTGGGTAGCAGTTTGATAGTATGCACATATGAGCCCTGACTGACCCCCTGGGCTGATGGGAGGGGCCAAAAAGGGTTGAATTGACTGAAATTTCAAAAATCTTCTTCTCAAGACCCAGATATGGTAGAATCAAACACTCTTCATAGATGGAAGGGTCTTAAGGTGCTCTACGAAAATTGTGAATTTCATGACCCTTGGGTATCACGTTTCCCTCTGGGGAGGGGGTAAACTTTACTATAGTTTATATAGGGAAATCACATTTTGGACTAACATTTGTTTAATTTTCATTGGAAGTAATTCAATTTGCGTTAGCATTATCAGTATTGGATAGCAGTTTGATGGTATGCACATATGAGCCCTGACTAACCCCCCTGGGCTGATGGGTGGGGCCAAAAAGGGTTGAATTGATGGAAATTTCAAAAAAAAAAATCTTCTCAAAGACCCAGATATGGTAGAATCAAACACTCTTCATAGATGGAAGGGTCTTAAGGTGCTCTACGAAAATTGTGAATTTCATGACCCTTGGGTATCACGTTTCCCTCTGGGGAGGGGGTAAACTTTACTATAGTTTATATAGGGAAATCACATTTTGGACCAACATTTGTTTAATTTTCATTGGAAGTAATTCAATTTG